TAGTAGCTTTATGAGTGATTAATCTACAGCCTGTGCTGCATTTTTGCTTTAACCAGTAAATTTTTTTCTTTCATGATTTTTTTCTAGTTATGGCCCTTTTCACTTATAGAAGTCTCCTCAAAATAAACGTTAATGCTGGTTTAGTGGTGATAGAGTCCTTTAACATTTGTCTGCTGGGAAACTCTCTCTCCTATTTTGAATGATAACTTTGCTGGGTAGAATATTCTTGGTTATAGGTTTTTTTGTTTTGTTTTGTTTCCTTTCCTTTCAGTACTTTGAATATATCATGCCACTTTCTTCCAGTCTGCAAAGTTGCTTCTGAAAAATCAGCTGATACTCTTATGGGGTTTTCATTGTATGTAACTATTTTCTTTTCTCTTGCTGCTTTTAAGTTTCCTTATCTTTTATTTTTGTCATTTTGTGTTATTTTGATGTCGACCTGCTTGGGTTTATCTTGTTTGGGGCTCCCTTGAATTCCTGAACCTGGATGTAGGGAAATTTTCAGCTGCTATTTCTTCAGTTAACTTTTTTGTCCCCTTCTCTCTCTTCTCTTTCTGGGACTCCAATAATGTGAATGTCACTATGCTTATTGTTTCAGAGGTAACTTACCCTATCCTTTTTAAAACTTTTTTTTCATCTGGGTTGCTTTCCATTACCCTGTCTTCCAGGTTGTTGATCCATTCTTTTGCACCCTCAAATCTACTATTGCTTCCCTTAGAGTATTTTTCATTTCAGTTATTATATTCTTCAGTCCTGTCTGGTTCTTTTTTCTATTTTCTATCTCTTTTGAAGTTATCACTGAGTTCATCCACTCTTCTTTCAAGTTGATTATCTTTATGACCATTATTTTAAACTTTTATCAGGTGGATTACTTGTCTCTGTTCATTTAGCTCCTTTTCTGTGGTTTTTCTGGTTCTTTCATTTGGAACATATATATTCCTTTGTCTTCTCATTTTATCTAACTCATTGTTTGCTTCTATGTATTAGGTAGCTCAACTACGTCTCCTGGTCTTGAAAGTAGTGGCATTATATAGAAAGCATCTTGTGGTGCCCTACCAGGACCAGTTGATCCAGTGATGTATCCTGTGTGGGTTGTATGTGCTCTCCTTTTGTGGTTGAGCAGCAGCTTCTGGTGGTGTGCTGATGGGCAGGGCTTGTCCTCATAATGGCTGGTCGAGAAGCCCTGCTGCAAATGCTTTATGTGGGCTGGTGGGGGCAGGGGAGGCTGGCCCTCAGCTAGGCTGTCTGCAATGGTAGGCTGCAACTGCTCTGTGCACCCTGGTTGGTAGGAACTGCCCTCTGCACAGCCAGCTGAAAGGCCCAGTTGCAGCTTCTGTAGGTGTGCTGGTGGGTAGGGGGTTTGCGCATAGCATTGTTAGCTGAGAGGCCTGGCTAGAGCCACTGCAGACTTGGTGTTAGGTGGGACTAGCTCTCAGCCCCACCATCTGAAATATTTGGTTGCTACTGCTGTGGGTGCACTGGTGGGCAGGGCCTGCTCCTATCTTGGTTAGCTGAGAGTCCCAGCTGCAGATTGTGCAGGGGTACTGCTGGTTGGGATCAGCTCCCCTCTTCTTTGGAGAAGACATAGCTTTGGTGCATCAGTCCCAGCTAGGACTGCCTTCTGGATGTGGTGGGCCACTTTGGGGGAGATGCTGGCCTGAGCTGAGTCTGCCTGCTGGGTTTAATGGGGCAGGATCCATTTTGAAAGGGCACCTGCTGGGGTGGGTGGGTTGGGTGGGGCAGGTCTACATGGGAAAGATGGGGTGGGCAAGCAGTGTTGGCAAGATAAATGGACGGTGTCAGAACAGGCTCCCAAAAGCATCTGGCTATCCAAGCTGATGGAGGACAAGAAAAATGATGCCCACCAACACTTCTATTTCCAGAGAAAGCTTCTGTAGATCCCTGACCCTCTGGCACATGTCCTAAAATTAGTCAATAAATCTTCATGTATAAAGGAAGTGCTTTTCAAACTGTTGTTTCTGTGCTGGGTCTCAGACTAAGTGATGATGTGTGCTGGTTCTTTAAGTGCAGAGACTTGGTTTTCTAGAGCTCTCTGGATCTCCCAGAGTTAAATCCCACTGATTTTCAAAGCCGGATGTTATGGGGACTCATTTTCCAGGTGCGGATTCCCATGGCTAGGGATGCCCAGTGTGGGGCTTGATCCCCTCACTCTTCCATGCTTATGATATGCCTTTCACTTGTGGGTAGCCATGCTGGAGGTTCCTGACCACATCTCTGCCCTTCCTACCCTTTTCAATGTGTCTTTGTTCTTAGGATGTTAGCTGTGGATGATCTGTTTTGCCCGTCTTCAAGTGGTTTTTAGAGTGAGGTGCAATACATGCAGTTGTTAATTTGGTGTGTCCATGGGAGGCAGTGAGCTCAGGATCCTCATACTTTGCCTCCTTCCTGAGATCTTTCTTGTTTCTTGATGTAGGCATTATCATTATAATATATATGTTATCATTATCACTATAGGTTTTACAATGCACATTGTTTAATCTTTACATATATGGGGATTTTCTAGTTTCCTTGTAGTTGATTACTAGTTTCATATCACTGTGTTTAGAAAAGATGCTTGATATTTTAGTCTTCTCGAATTTATTATACTTTGTGTGAGAATGCTGCATGTGTGCTTGAGAAGAATGTGCGTTCTGCTGCTTTGGGATAAAGTATCTTGTATATGTCAAGTCCATCTGGTCTAACATGTTATTTAAGGCTGTTTCCCTTATTGATTTTGATCTATGAAAGTGGGGAAATAATGCTCCCTATTATTGTATTACTATTTCTCCCTTTAGGTCTATTAATGTTTGCTTTCTAGATTTTAGGTGCTCCTATATTGGGTACATAAATATTTACAAACTTTATATACTTTTTGTATTGACCCATTTATCATTATGTAATGATGTTCTTTGTCTCTGATTACAGTCTGTTTTAAAGTCTATTTTCTGTGATGTAAGTATAGCTATCCTAGCTTTTGGTTTCTACTTGCATGAAATATGTTTCTCCATCTCCCTATTTTCAGTCTGTATGTGTCCTTAGATCTGAAGCAAGTCTCTTGTAGGCAGCATATAGATGGGCCAGTGACTTTTGAACACTTTGTCATATAAATCACGTATCTTTGTTTCATTAAGTCTTTTCCTAAAGTTTTATCTTGTTCTTTCATTTGAACATATTTCTCTGTTTCTTCATTTTCCTTGACTTTGTGTTGGGTTTCTCTCCATTGGATGAAACAGCCACCTCTACCAGTTTTGAAGGAGTAGGCTTTGCATGGATGAACCTGTTTGATAACCGTGCTGGTCTATCAAAAATGACAGGTTTGATAGACCTGTCACTGTCCAAGCAGCCTACTTAGTTCTTTGTGGCTCTCAGGAGGTGAGGGTCTGCCAACACCTGTTACTGTCCCAAAGGGGAGGATCTGAACCAACACTTAAGATTCAGGCTGATTGGAAGCTGATCCTCAGGCAACAGCTTTTAAGCTATGCAAATAGACCTCTTATAGGAGATGACTAGGAGATGGGCTTTTCTGTCTGCTCCTCCTTCACTGAGCCCTGGGGTAATGGCCAGTTAAGTACTGTTTGTCGTTTGATATCTTTTCATTGAACCTATGAACACAATGCCCAGTGGCCACCAGTCAGGTGACCCCTGGTTTGCAGACACGAAAACCAGGGCCCCAGATGCATGTATAGTCTCCTTTCTAGGAGATAGTGGCCACCTGAACAAGGTCATGGGAGAGTGTAAAGATGGGGTCCACCAGCCTCCATGGTCTTTGTATCTTAGTAGGGCCCTAAATGTGTGTTTAGATACCTGACCCTCAGGTCAAAGCTTTTAAGATATGCAGATAGCCTCTTTCATAGAAAGACTGCTGCCTGTATGCTGTGCCCCGGAGGTTAGCCATGGTGAGTCTGTGTGTGTGAATCTTTCAAGAACTATTTCTCAGTTTTCTATTCTTGAGGTTTTGTGATGCAAGCCCCACTGGCTTTCAAAGGTAGATGGTTTGGGGGGGCATCTCACAGGTACAGGTCTTAAAAGTTGGGGTGCCAAAAGTGGGGTTCAAACCTTTGCTCGTGTAGGAGAAGCTTGGGGTTGTGAGTTCCCTTCCAATCGTGGGTCACTGCACCATGGGTGGGGCTTATGGTGAGATTGTGTCTCAGCTTTTCCTGTCCTGATGTTTGTATTTTCTCATTTGCTTGATGTGTAGGAGTTGCTCAGTTATTTTGGGGGTTTATTTCATTGGGAATTGTTCCCTAGGAAGCTGTAGATTTTGGTGTGTCTGGGGGGGGAGTGTAAGTTGGCAATCCTCTTACATTGCCATTTTGAACCACAAACCCATCTGACCTTTTTTAATGTCTAACCTAAGAGGAAAATGATTTCATTATCTTCATTGTGTGGGTCAAACAAGAGATAATTTGCAGTCCTTATGGTGGATCATACATGGGTAAAGGGCACAGCCAGGATTTGATTTCTGAAGCCGGATCTCTTGGAATTACTATGAAGACCGTTGATGCTTTCATTTAAGTGAACTAATAAGAGGCCAACTCTAGGCGGTGTTTGCTCAGTGACACTATAAATATAAGCCATCCTATTTTCATTTTTTTTCTTTTTAAACCATAGTGTCATTGGATAAAACCAGTTAATCAGTGTTAAATGCTTAACAGAAGTCATAGGACAAATGAAAACATCCTCTATCTTACTGTTTCACATTTCTAACATTCCCATTTTCTTAGGACATTGGCATATCAGTGTTTGCCCTATTTCAGTGGTTTGTTCTAATATTAACTGAGCTTTAAATATTCCTTCAGAGCTACTCTGTATAATTGTAGTTGGCTCTATATCATTGTGTACTCACTAGTGTTGAGAATGTGGAATAAGAATCCTTTCCTGTGGCAGTGATTTCATCTGTCAACCCCAACAGTAGTGCCACAGGGAAACTGTCAGTAAAACTGTTTTTGTCAAAGCAAGGGCATTTCATTAAGTGAATAAATCTAGAATAGGCAACATCTTCTTGAGCACTTTATTTGTTATAAATACAAGTCAATACCACAAGATGGCACCTTCTTACTCTCAACATCTACAATTACAAACAATTATCATCATAAAATGGTTTCAGCTTTTTAATGTTTCTAGGTATTATTGAAACCTTATAAAAGCAAGACTCGCTATAAACAGGATTGGTGTTTGATGTATATTAAATGAGGTCAGAGAATTAAATTCAAAAAAAGAATTTATAAATATTCAGATAAGAAAATTGAAATTATAAAAGCAGAGTTTGTCATCGTTAAACTGAATTACAAGTGTGTATGGTATAGTACTATATCTACATGGCTAAGTTTTTGTTAAAATACAGTGTTAGTAATCAAATAATCTACCTCATTCTCCAATATAACCACCTAACACTCAATACATATTTCATTCAGAAACCACCTAGCTTTCATCTAGACCAGCAGTTATGCCCACTCTTTTTTTTTTTTTTTTTCTTCAATAAATGCAACCCATGAAGTGCCATCATCCCCTGGCTACAAAACTAAAGGTAAAAACTCAGAGAATTTCTGAAATGGTAAACCATTCTCTCTGTGTTCATGAAAATAGGCAATCCAATTTGAAAGTCTCTGAACCAATGTAAACTCTAGAAAACTCAGTGTTGAAGTATGGGAAGAATAAAGACTTGCACTAATATAGTGCATAACAAAGCAGTGTCAGGCTCGTCATTTACAGTAAATGCCTTGATTGGATTTTCCTCCAGATTGTCATCATGCTGCTGAAGATAAAGTTTACTGAAGTCTGTGGGAATTCCATCATGTTTTCTTCCTCCCATTTCCAAACAGGAAGAGAAGGGTTTTCAGGACCCTTGGGAAAATCAAAAAATTAAACACACACCCACAAACAACTTGAAAGCAAAATGGCAGACCTAATAATCCTTGACTCCATGTCCAAATGAAGTTAGGCAATATTACTTTTGCAATTTTTGTATTCTGCCCAATGTATCACATCAAGAGATTCCTCAAAAAACTGAGAAGTCTGAGAGCTACAAAAGAGAAAGCGGTTAAGGCAGTTGATGTCTACATTTGGATTTCTTTTCAGGTTACATGTCTAAGTCTCCATCGTAGGCTAAGGTCAGAGGCTTCTGTTGGGGAGGTGTGCTTTGATGTGGTTTTGGTTTCTTGCTGCAAAGGGAAAAGAATTCCTCAGATAAAGGTTCACAGAGTTCTGTTTCATCTGCCAAAGACAATTATGAGGTATAGAAATTCATGTAGTTAAATGACAAAAGATAGAGTGCTCTGAACCTGTGGGTTTCTTTTTTGAATACTTTGTATATTTTATCCCTATTTTAAGGATAAGCTATCATTTTTTCAAAATCTTAAAAATGGTGTCATAGAAACAATGGTAGAGGGCTACTTTTCTTGTTCTTGTTTCTACTCAGTAGTGCAAACATCTGCTGTTCACTAATTCCCAAGCTACGGTGACCCTCATATCAGAGATGTTTCAGAGGACCAGCCAGACTCCTGCCTTACCTTGGTGTGGTTCTTAAGAAACTTAACACACTTCTGCTCTGGCCTGGAACCTGACATTTAGATGCCATGTCACCCGAGTCTGTCAGGAAACTTTCTCTGATCTTGCACCATGCAGAGCCACTCTCACCTGGTCTCTGTTTTACCTGAGGTTGACAACTTTGCCAGGTCAAGGAGGGCGGCTCTTCCTTCTCATAGAGAAGTTGAGTAACCTTGGCCAATCACAGAGTCATGGCCCAGATCTGGGGCAAAACAACCTGCAGTACACTTTTTCTTTAGTATGGGCAAAACTCAATTTGTCTTTATGAATATTTATAGTTTGAATTTTGCCACATCGTACCCCAGCCCTACCATACTCTTTCTCCTCCTTCCTCAGTGCCTTTGCTTTGCCATGCCTTCAGAGCCTAGCTCTTTGGGGTGGTCCTTACCAGCAGGGAGCCAACTGTTTCCTTGTCTCCAAATTTGTTTATTTTATATAGCATCTATTATTATTTGGAAGTATACTAAGTGCCAACCTTGTGTACAGCATTCTACATAAAATATCTCAATAAACCCAGAACAACCCCGGGGGGTGGGGGGGAAGCATTAGGTTCAATACTTTACAGAGAAGGACTAAAGAGGTTACTTACCTTCCCCCAAGTCACTGAGTGGCTGAGGCTGAAATTTAAGCACGTCTAACACAGAGGCCCAGGCCCTTAACCTCTTCTGTGCACTCTCTCTGTATCCATGCCATTAACTTGGCATGCAGTAAAAACATTTTGTCTATACATGGGAATTTTTATACTTTGAACTTAATTTCCATGTGTACAATTCAGTGGCATTTAGTATATTCACAATGCTGTGTAACCATCATCTTATCTAATTCCAGAACATTTTCATCACCCCAAAGAAAAACTCTTGTACCCACTGAAGTAGTCTTCCTACTTCCCCTACCCTCAGCCCCTGGTAATCACTTAACTTTCCACCTCTTAGGGATTTGCCTATTTTGGATATTTCATACAGATGGAGTCATACTATGTGGCCTTTCTGTCTGGCTTCTTTCCCTTAATGGTTAAAATGGAGACTTTTGTATTATGTGAATTTTACCACATACACAAAAAGAGATGCTTGTTAGAATTAAAATGGGTCTAGGGAGAATCACCTAGTTTAAATGCTCAAGTTCTAAAACTAATTTTTTTTTTTTTTGGTTTGCTAATGAACACTGCAAAAATAAGAAATTAAAAATGATTTTAAAAATCACTAAAGGAAAAACCACAGATCCTATCAGTGTTCCTGCTTGGCATCTGGGGTGCAGTGATGCTCAATGGGTGATGAGCTGAGGATAGGCCAAAACCTGCTCTAGCATCCTCTGCCATGGGATCCTTAGTCTCTGATTTTGTGCTTCTCAAAAGGGTATTCACTATATAGTTATTAGAATATTCAACTTAACTTTATATATAAGTATATTCCAGTGGCTCTAGGTCTATTGCTTGGTCCTGTCTCTAGCATAGAGAATGGGCCCAGCTTGAAATGAGGTCCAGAGCATGCTAATCTGCAGCATTTCAATGTACTATGAAATCACACCACAGTTTAGGACAACTTGGAAGTGACAGCTTGTGCATCTACTTGAAGGTTGTTCTAATAACGAGATAGTTCATCTGAAATGACAGTTGGGATCTTCTCCATCCTATATCTCCTGCCTTTTGGAGGAGAAAGGAAGAGAGATGAAGAAATGGAGGTGGTTCCAGAAAGTAAGTTTTTGACAATCCATTCTTAATTAGCATTTGCCAAGGGCTAATGGGCAGAGAGAAATGGATAGAGATGGCTGGATCTTTATTTTGATATTGCCTGGGAGACATCTAAACTTGGCCAGCCTGTTGTTGGGCCTATAAAATTCTCAAACTATTAGAGATATTTTTATGAATGAGTTTCCATGCATGGGATTACGGGGAAAAAAAAAGAGGGGTCTCCTATTATGTAGGCCTTAAATCCTTGTGGGCCATGGGGTGTGTTGGGGATCATTTGGATGAAGACCTCATTTTTTATGAATCTCTTCAAATCGTTTAACCTCTTAGCTGATACTATCATAACTATGAATATATGAGAGTTGAGAAATTTTAGAGTTTAAAAGAAGTTCTTAAATGCTGGTAAACTAAGTGCTACATGCTGGGTGGCTGTGAGTTTACGGTTTCCTGACTAGTTAAGAAGATCTCTGAGGGGAGGTGCTGGGTAGCCGGGCTGTCCTTAGCAAAGCCAGCAACTAGGAGACCTGTCTTGAGAGGCCCTGCTCTCTTTCCTTTCTCCCTTACTGGTATTCATTTTTCCCTTAAGAAATACTTTTTTAAAAATATCTTTTCTCGTCACCTCTGATATCAGGAAAGGTGTGACCACTTCACACTGAATCAGGACCTGCAAATGCCTGCCACCTAGGCCACCACCACTCATCCTGTACCCACAGTGGATCTCTAATCCCTCACACCATTCTTCCCTGTCGGACTGAGGTGTTGCCTCATAACTCTTCCTAATGGAGCACTCTTGACAGCCACCACCACTTTCAGGGTTGGCCGAGGGATAAAGCTATTACACACCATTGGCTGTAAGAGACCATTGCATGACACACATTTAAAGTGACCTCTTCCGTGATCATTTGCATTTTAGCAAAGGATAAACCCATGAAGCCAGAAAAGCAAACTGATGATGAACGGACAGGCAAACTGCTGGGACTTAACAGCACCATTGAATTTAAGCCCCAAGGACCCATCCCCAGGGCAGTAGAGATTAAATAGCTTGATGAAAGCCTGAAATGGTCTTTGGTTTAGGCAGGCACTCCTGAGGGCAGAGCCTCCGGTGGTGGGGGCACTACTCTCAAACTTGGGCAGAACGAGGCCCCATTTACTGAGTTGCACTGGGCAGGGCAGAATGGATATGCTATAGATAGTTATCTGGAGCAATCTTCTGGCACTATGTTTAGATTAACTACAAGCTCACCCAGTGCTCGTCTTCACTAAATTGCCTCATGGATCTTTACTGCCAGGGGAGCAGGGGCATCAGTAATATTTCAAAAACTTCGAACACTAATGGTAGATGTACAAAGGGTTGTATTTGAACGAAGTGGTCCTTAAGAAGACTATTTTTCTCAAAAGCATTTCTAAGTTTTATTATAAATTGCTTTCATCCAAAGTATACACCTAAGGCCTGGCATTTTATAGCAGTTCTCTAGTCCTAAGCCTTTTATATTTTGGGGAGAAAATATAAAATCTCCAACACTGTCATCTAACTCCTCTGCACGCTATTTAATAGAAGTAAATGCTGTGGAAGTATCTATTTGGACTCTAGGCAGCTCATATGTAACAGTAAATGGTATGTGTTTTGATATCAATAGGTCTGTTCCGAGGTCTATAGCTTATTTGGGAAACAAGGAGCCTCTAAAAAAAATATGAAAACTGTAGCCACTACATTGAATCTAAAGAGTTTTTAGGATCACAAGAGAAAGAAATTGCAGACTAGAAGACCAGTGGAAAGAGCATAATCTCTGGGCCTAGGCAAACCTAGAGGTCAGTTTACCAGGATGATGACCTCAGGTCAGTGATCCTCAGAAAAGTTCAATAACTTAGCTCTCTTTAAAATGGGTATGCTAGAGCAACAACTTGGTAGATAATTGTGAGGACTGAAAAGGCAACCTGTGTAAAATATTTATTCATCCACTATTCTACTTTGGGTGGTAGAGGAGGAAGATACTAAAGAAACAACAACTATAATCACAGCCTAGAATAAATGCCAGAGACGAGGAAGAATGGATAAGTGATTCCAGACTATTTGGGAAAATGCTGGCATTTGCATTTTACTGGGAAAAACCAATAAATTCATTCTAGATGGGAATGAGATAGAAGGAAGCAGAAGAAGCCTCCTTGTAAAATTAGAAGGTACCACTCTAGGGGCACCTGGGTGGCTCAGTTGGTTAAGCAACTGCCTTCGGCTCAGGTCGTGATCCTGGAGTCGCGGGATCGAGTCCCACATCGGGCTCCCTGCTTAGCGGGGAGTCTGCTTCTCCCTCTGACCTCTCCCTTCTCATGCTCTCTCTCATTCTCTCTCTCAAATAAATAAATAAAATCTTTAAAAAAAAAAAAAAAAAAAGGTACCACTCTAAGTACCCTTACATTCAGTACTTTATATATGCACAGTACCAATAAAATGGTGAACTTCCCCAATACATGTGAATGTGTACGGGGGGTCTTGGGATAAAACTTCTGAAACAGCAACACAAAGAGACTGAAAGTGCTGTATCTCAACAACTTAGATAGAAATGAAGATGGTAAACTTGAAAAACTGAACCTGACTGTGGAAAGGGAATTAAAGCAATGATGAAGATGGACACAGACTCTTATGAAACATGAAAGTAGAATGTGTATATTATAATGAACTAAGATTGATGGGAATGTAGAACTATTTTATCAAAATAATTTATAAAGGAGGTAGTTTTTAAAAAGTCTTCAATGAGAAAAATAGATTTAGGCTTATACAACACAGCAGACTATCCAAGGCATAGGGAAATAGAAGTGAAATTGCAGATTGTTCAAGCTTATTGTGGAAGATCAAAGAAAGCCACTGCTGGTGTCTGATCATCTGGCTAAATTTTAGGAAGACTGATTTATGTAATTTGGTCACTGAAAGGTAAGGAAAAACTGAATTTAGAAAACTGTTTACAGAATTCAGTGATGTACCTAATTAATCCCCAGAGTTTAGAGTCATTCATAAAGGGCCTCAATAAACATTTATTATTGAAGGAATAGAGAAATGTAAAAAGGCAAAATTAATGACTGTTACTATAAATTACTACATCCCCAATTCCAAATCCTATGGTTCCCTCCTCCCTGGAATACCTAAGAGATTAAAAATTAACAATGATGATACATCTAAGCTGTTACAAAAGAGCAAACTATCTTATTCCCTTACACTGTGTTGGGCCATTACTTTCGGAGAAGCTTCTCATCTGTCAAACCTTCATGTCTTTTGTTGCAACAGAAGACCCTTTCCTCCTTTTTTAATCTTTTCTAGTGATGAATGCATCCTACTACTCTGAACCTCATATAAGGCTTTCAACTTCACATTTGTTCATTAAGACAGGATCTAGGAATACACAAAAAATTTATCAATTGAGACAAAAATTGGTCAAATCATTTGAGTGTAGGGTGAAGAACTAACCAACGGTGTTACTTTTTACTACAGCACTATGGAAATAGTAGATAGATTCAATTTCTAGCACTATAGGTAGAAGAAAGAATTAGTCATCTTACCTTCTTCACTAATTTTCACTGATCCAAAGATTTATAAACGTGTGTAACCTTGGAAACAGAATTTGAGGCTAAATGCACAAAGGCTGGATTTGAATTGAGATTAAAACTTGGGTAAAAATTCTGAAGGAAACAGTTTAATAGATGATGAGTATAAATATGGAGAAAAAAACTTTGATCCTATGAAATTTTGCTTTGGAAGCTATTCTCAACACTTGAAAACATTCAAATGTATTTACTTCTGTCTGGTTTCAAGACCAGCTCATCAACTAAAGTATATTCTGTACAGTAAACCAATCATCATTTTCTGAGAAGAATAAATTTTCAGGAACAAGTCACTTACAAAATGGGGTTCCTGGAATTGACAAAATTTTCTCATATCTGGTCAAGGTGGATAAACATGTGGCTCTACTATTTAAAATGTACTAAGCAGGTTGTTTGAACCGACTGGTCAAGATAGGTCAATTTAAGAATTAGAATTATTAGCTCTTAGCCTTAGCTGCATTTCAGCATTACCTGAGATGCTTTTAAACATCTGGATGACCTGGACAGAGGCAAGACTAATTAACTCAGAATCACTGGGGCTGGGAGCCAAGTTTCAGTCCCCAGGAGTACTAAGAGAAGCTAAAATGCAGTCAAAGCTGAAAACTAATCAAAAATGATTTATTTGAAAGCCACCTAAAAGAAGCTTATGTCAAATGAGGACAGGAAAGACAAATGATTTCAAGTATTCTACTGTTGATAATTACTTGTGGGTTAATGGCCATGGATCTTTTAGTATAATACCTCACCTATCAGAATATGGAATGTAATGTTTTACTAGTTAGTACTTACCAAAGAAGGTAGGAAGTAAATACTAGGAAAATCATGATAAGAAAACCTCCACCTGAAACTCCATAAACCCATATTTTTACACGGCCATCTGTTTAAGATAGATAGAGATTAAATAACAAGCTTAGCATACAAAAGTCTTCTCATCTGAATTCTGAGACTGGCATAAGTCACAATCATAGTGGAACTACCCATATGTGACAGCTAGAAAACATCCAACGCAGGTGAAAATGTAAAACAGTCTATCAAATTTTTCACAATGGCAAACACACACCAGTAATCATTACTGCATAAGATCTAACAATTGTCAGGCTATTTTAAATGTATCTGTGTATAGTCTTATACATATAGTACAAAAAGTATTGCAATACATTTTGACAACACAGAACCAAAAGATTAAGAGGCCATCCTGTATGCAAAGAAAACTATCACCACTTTTGGTGACAGATGATGTCGAGTGAACAAAAACTTTATGCCCAAATAATGTCAAATTATAACCACACATGTAAAAGTATAGACATTATTTTGATATCCTATCTGCCAGAGTTAAGAAAAATAAAACCAAGTAAGTCTGATCTGTTTTGTGATTTTTACTATGTTATATATAACTTCAGTGTACAAATGGTTTTATGTGAGCACAGTTGACTGAGAAAGACAATGGCCTTAGCATTCCCAAGGAACTGTCTTCCTTTCTGAAAGGCAGACACACACAGAAGATTCATTATACTACATGAATGTAATTAACTGCAGGTCCAAAAAAACAGCTCAGCATCTTATTTGAAAGGCTTCTGTGGGATGAACAACTATCAAAATCTATTGTAAACACTTGTTTGGAATAAAATCACAATTACATTCAATTATATTGTCACTACCCATTACAGTTTTTGCTTACAAGACACTTTAAAGCCTCAGTTAGGTCTTAGAATGAGGTTTCAATGCGGTAATGATATTTTTCTATGGTCATGAAACTTTTAACAAAGCTTTGATTCTGATCTCTTTGAAACACTAATGATGAAATCCCCTCTTCTGAGTTTTTTACATCGGGGGTGGGGGGGGGGGGAAGTCGTCTCTGAGTGAGAAAGCACCTTTCATCTTCTTACTCCTAAACCTCACAGAGCTGAAATATTTGGAGGATCGAGAACTTTTAAATCCCCAGTGTAGAGGTATGTGGTCCATGTTACTTAAAAGCGAATATAACTTTTTATAATAACATAATGGATAGGATCAAACTTCACACTATTAAAAAAAGATATGTAGTGAAAAATAAGTCACCCTGCTACTTTCTCTCAATTCCCAAGCCAGGAGCTACCACTGTTACCATTTTCCTTCCCTTTAGCATTTTAGTTTCCTTTGTATATGCAAACGTATATACGTAGATGCATACAAAATATACACCTATTTTTAAAGAGCTACAAATGGCACATATTTTGAATTGTATTTTTTAAAATAATTTCCCATGCTAGATCATAAGACAAGTCTCATTCTTTTTAATATGAGGCATATTGGGTACTTGTATCCTATTTTATTTTTCCATATTCTCTTTATACCTTTAGGTTGTTTCCACTAATCTTCTTTATAAGAAGCATTTGTAATAAACATCATTTAGTATACATATATATATTTGTAGGATGGGTTCTTAGGAAATAAATTTTAGGTCAAACAGTATGATACATATTGCCTAAATGTCTTTTTAGAGGTTGCTCTAATTTACACTCCCATCATGAGAAAAACATAGATACACATACCTATATTTACATACATGGCACTATTGATGTTTTAATTAGCCCCCAAAGGCTAAGGACCTCACTTGTGGATTTGAGCATTCATTTCTCTAGAACCTCACCCTAATTCTCCTCCTGAACTGGGGTCTACAGGCAATGGGTGGGCCTGGTTACATTTCCTACCACCCTTCCTTCAGATTTAAAGCTACTGCTACTTTAATCACAAAATGAATGAGATGTTTTAAAAATCTATGGCATGCCCAGACATGGAGTGGAATCAGAAATAAGAGACTGTGGTCATCCTGAAAAGTTGGCTAAGGAACGTACATCTGGTTTCTCCTGCTAGATCTAGTGTCCTTTGGGCCCAGGCTCTGGTTTTTGCTTCATTTAAGCATATCATTAAGACACTTTTGATACATAGAGGCCTGGGGTCTGGGAGGAAATTCCCAGGGTATGTTTTGCCTGAGCTCTGTGTACATCTTCCTCTCCATGCCCTGTCTGCCAGGCCACTTTGCTTAATTATTAGTAGCATTTTGTTTCCTAGCAAAGGTATGTAGAATTAGCACCGAGAATCTTGCTTTCATTTTCTGCATACTTCATAAGGGGGGTAGTGGAAACCCAACTGCTATGATCTGACTTTCATATCTTCCTATCACTTATGGGTGATAGGACCTGGGTCAAATTCATTTTTCCTGTTTCAGACTCCTAATCTCAAAATCATTAGGTTTTTGCAACCTAATGAGATCACTCAATACAACCAGCACAGAATGACAAGGTACACAGAAAGCTTCTCCTTAATAACCACCAATTCCTGACCCCTGCAGGCCCAGCACTGTGATAAAATTTACAACAGTCCTGCAAGATCGGTGTCTTTGGACCTCTTTCCTCATTTATGAAATCAGTGGAGAGAGGCGAAGACATTACACTCAATCACAAAACAGGTACATTCCGAGTCTTGATGCCAAGGTCTGTCTCTGAATTTAAGGCTCTTTACAGTTCCACGAGTGTTTCTCAAACCATATAGGGTCCCTAGGCATTTCCTGAGGTATCTTCAGATTCTTGATCTATTCCAACTTTTGCTTTTAATTTCAATTATATACACAAATTCAGTTACTTTTGCAGAGGTAATTTACAATGAAAAGATAATTTTAAAGGCTAAAATTTTGGGGACTTAATTCCCTATCTCTTAGACTGGGGTTGAAAGAGACTTCTCTTCAACCTTCCATGAGAACATTTTACATTTAAAGGAACTACCCCTTTTTGGCATTCAAATTTGAGAAACCTTGAATTGGACCACATCACCTCTCCTGTCTCCTCTTTCTCTCCTTCCCTCCATTATGAACCCCAACACCCCACGAGTAAATGTGTATTTCTTACTCTTAATAAATGTACCTGGATCAAGGGGTTGAAGTGACCATCCTTTAAAAATGTCATGTATCTTTGAATTCACAGGTCTGTTTTTCCCCGCAAGGTTCTTCACATCAGCTTTTTTATCTTCAGAGCCGGGTACTTTCATGCAGTAATCCAGGAAACCATTGGATCTCATGATCTCTGTATAACCCTTCTCACAGCCACAGACTCCACCCTACAGCATCCAAAATAGTTTTATGGTTACACGGTGATGACAAAGAACAAGGTAAAAGTTGGAATCACTTAATACCTGTGTGATGTGTGTTATGGCGATTGGGAGTTTTTCGGCAATAGAGTTGCCCAAGAGATGAAAAACTGAGCAGTTCCTTTTTGTGAATTCCAAAGTCAACCCTTAAATACATCATCAGACTTTTCTACAGGTTGACAATTCTCATGCCTTCCAGGTATTCTTTGTCTTTTCTCTCTTACAGAGATTTTAAGTCATTTAATCAAATTATCCTACACTCCCCCCCAGTCTTGATGCCAAGGTCTGTCTTTACAGTTCCACGAGTGTTTCTCAAACCATATAGGGTCCCTAGGCATTTCAAATTCCTGCCCGCTCACTCGAACCTACTGACCTTGATGCTGAGAAGTAAAGCAACAGGGATTATGTACCAGCGCCTTTGGGCTTTGTGCTCTTTGATGTTGGTTTCCGAGCCAGCTGCTGAATGTGGCTTACCACCTTCGACCATTGATCACTAACTAGTCTGAACTACCTCTCTGCTTGCAGGCTTGGTTCTGCCCTCAAGGAGGGCAGCCTAAGTGGAGAAAAAAAAAAAAGACTTCACCAAAGGCACATGTCCCACATTCTTCCTTGGAGTACCCTGAGTGTCACACTACAACACATTCCTAGTTGGCATTGGGACAATGGGCTCTTCATGTTTCTCTGTGAATTCCTGGTCATTTTCATGTACAATAAACCTCTCCAAGGTGCTGGCTAGGGTGAGATATAACAAACAAGGATTTCCTTCTGTCTCTAGCAGTGAAACTGAAAATAATTGTTCTTCCGTCCTCCAGGAAACAAAGACAACAGAGAAGAATAGAACAAGTTAAGCATAAAATTATGAATCTGAAGGACTTTGCTGTAGGGGCGCCTTACCTGAAAATATATGGAATTTTTGGAACAGACCCCAGTCTCACACAGCCACTCAAGTCTGTATGATTCATCAGGATCAATATATTTGGGTCATTGATTGTTAACACATCAATTTTAAGGAGCAATAGATACTAAAACTAAGGGGGGCACCTCAATCTTCTACAAAAGGAAAAGGCCAGAAAAGTAGGGTAAAATTAATAATTGCCCATTGTTTAGTAAAAGGCAGCATTCCTATAATGACATCACAGTATTTCATTTCAAGATATTACAGGGTGTTCAATAGAGAGCTAATTAAGATCTCCTCCAGTCTAAGTGAAAAAGCTGTAACTGATCACATGTGCCAAAAGTTCAAGGCAAAAGGTATTTGTTTTATTAAAGAGCGTATCCAGACAGTTGGTGGAAAGCTACACCTTCTACTTTGCAAACCTGATTAGCCTCTGAAGTTGTTGCTGACCTCTCTTTTCTCCTCTGTAAGCTTAGGTACTAGCTTTTCTGCAGTATAGAATTAGCCCACCTTGAAGTGAAAGAACCATAAAATAGGACTGAGTGCTTGAATTATTTTTAACCAGATCAGTTTTGGAAAGAGCACATAATAATAAGAAACGTGTTTCTTTAAGGAACATGACATAATTTTATATATGCACTGCTCATTATGAGTGCCATTGATTAGAATACATTGCACATTCTGCATTAGTTCCAGAGCAGTGGTAAATGGGAGTCAAGGGAGAAGAACGGAAGAAAGAGTTCTGCTTTAAAAAAATGCGTGCACATACGTAATTTTTCCTCATAGGCAAATATTTAACTTATTTTAAATGAACTGAAAATTTACTCATACTAGCGTAATCAATTTACTAAATAATTAGCAAATATGAACATTGATAAGATCTTTCCAAATAGTTTGGGTAGATGAAAGGCTAATAAAGAATAAATCAACTGAGGACATTTATTGATAAGCAGAGTATATGAATTAGCTATCTGAAAGACAGATTTGGCTATAGCCTTAAGACGTGGCCCTATTAAAAAAAAAAAAATCCTTAATAGCTGTGATTATTCCTGCAAATTCCTCTAGATGGTACCGTGAGCACACGAAACTGCTGCTGTGGTCTACTGGAAAACACCCAACAGCATATGCAGAAGACAGCAGGTAAAGGTCTAGAAGTCTCCAGCACAGGACTCACCTGTGTACAGTAGGAGAAAGGTTTTCTGCAGGCTGGATTACACTGCCGGATAGCAGCAGGACGTGCCTGAGGGGAGCAGCCTCCTACAAAAAAACAAAACAAACAAAATAACACAAAAACCCACCATCATTTGTGGACTTTTCTGCGCTGAACGTTAAAAAAGAATTGTTTTCCTCTCTTGCCACTGTGTAACAGTATTCTTTTTTATATGCATTTGCTGACACAGAGGCCAGCTGTATTTTATTGATTAGGAAGAACTGTTCAAGATGGTGGCAGTAGTTTTTATACCTACTCATTGGCAATGTCATTCTAGCATATGGCTCTGCTTGAGGGCCACATCTGTGTGCCGGGCCAGGAAAAGAATGGATGGATGAAATTTCAACTGAAGTTCAGGAGCAGAAAATATATCTGCTCAAAGACTCATTCTATGTATATTTTTCTCCAGTGCCTGAATACCTCAACTAGGCAATAAGCCAGTTGGCAACAACCAATGCTAAAAGGATGCCATGGATAGATTTATGGACCACAGTAGCAAACTCCTTGGTAAAACTTTAAAATGTGTCTTAACCAGAATGCATCTACACACACACAGTCACATATGGAGCTCGACACATTTTTAAAAGCAAATGTATAAGCTCCAGGAGAGGCGGTCATACATCTGATACCATACTTGCTGCTATTAAATATTTTTGAGTAAATGGATGGAATAATGTCTATACTCTGCAGTAATTTACATAGTAGCCATGCCTTTCAGGATTCGGGGACTAGTCTAAGAACTTGATGTATTTGAGGGCAGTATTTAAATTGTATTTATGTAATACTGGTTTTACTTATAGATTCCAGCTTTTGCCTTACTATATAATTGTCACCCAATTATAGTTTATGATTTGGTAGCTAGCAAAAAGCTTTGAGCCTAAGATGGTGTAGGAAACAGATTTTTGTTTTCCCTGTGAATGAAGCAGCTAAATTCCTAGTGTTACTAAAAGTATAAAAATCCCCACAGGGGAAAAACAACAACAAAAAAACCCCCTAAAATCCAGAATTATACCTACGTGTGAAATGGGTAATTTGGACATGGTGTTGTTGCTACCCATACTGCTGGGGGCGCTGTTTCCACTCTTTTAACCAGTGATCTCCCAAGAGCGGTGTCTGCGCCCCTGGGGACAGAATCTCTAGGGAATCGGCTAGAAAATACTAGAATTTTTGTTTAAATTTAAGAAAGAAGCTGTAATACTTAGCAGCTGGTCGTGCTAACCTGAGCTCATCAGTGGATGGCCCAGTATTGTAGACTGGTGCAACAAGTACACTGAGGAGACTTTGACAGTGTAACCCTCACTTGCCAACTCTCAGCATGCTGCAGAGGATGCTGCTTGTGGTGTTCCTGGTCAAACAGATTTGCAACGTATTTAGTTTCAACAATAACTTACAGAACGGGCAAGCAGCTTAAAATAAATTACCTTATGGATAAACTACAGATTAAAGGGAATACTATAATGCAAATATAGGCAAATAATACCAAGAAGGAGCTGACAATTCTTCAATTCCTACAGAAGAATAGAAATTCTCTCACGGATATGATAAGCTCTGTCAGCTGCAGTAGCAGTAAAAACAATGACAATTTTCTCTGAGAAGGCATTAAAAAACGTTAAAATTGAGATCATTTGTACAATCAGATTGTATCCACTGTCAAGCAATAATGACTAGCAAAATATCCAAAACCAAGCTTCCAGTGCATGATACAAATCTTTATAACTTACAGCAAAAGTTTTTTTTGTGCCATTAAGAAATATAGTTTATTATATCTTTACCCACCCTTTTATTTTCAACTTTTGTATGTGTTTTATAATATGATATGGTAGCATCATAGAATTAGAATGTTGAGGTGTCATCAAAAACTTTTTACTGAGAAGGTACAGGATTTAAAACGTTAGAGACTATTGTTTTAAACTCCCATGTGTCTTTTTCAGCCTTTGTCTCAGAACATGATATTTAAGGAAATTTTATTGTGTAAGTCATTGGGTGTATTATGGGTCTTCAGATAGAATGGTTTGCTTTCTAAGAAGCAAAGGTCTATTGCTCAGCCGTAAGAATGAAGTCTTGCCATTTGCAACAACATGCATGGGCCTGGAGGGTATTATGCTAAGTGAAATAAGCAAGACAAAAAAAGACAAATACCATATGATTTCACTCATACATAGAATCCAAAAAACAAAAAACTCAGAACAAATGAACAAACAACAAAAAAGAACACACCAGATTTATAAATACAGAAAATAAACTGGTGGTTGCCAAAGGTGGGGGAGCGGGTGTGTTGGGTGAAATGAGTGAGGAGGATTAAAAAGTACAAATTTCTAGTTATAAAATAAGTCACAGGGAAGGAAAATGCAGCATTGGGAATATAGTCAATAATGCTGTAATACAGTTCTCTTGGTGGGCATCTTGTATATAATTATTGGATCACTCTGTTGTACACCTAAATCTAATTTATTGTTAAATGCCAAGTACACTTCGATTAAAAATTTAAAACAAAATAAGGTCTAATGACAATTTGCTATGAAGATCATCTAAGGCCACCTGCCCAGTCTTCTCGTGCTTACAATTTGTAAGCTAATTCTTCTCACAAACAGCAACACTCAGAGATCTTTTTGAAGTGCCCACACAAATCTTAGGCAGGAATACCTGTGACATTAATGCCATCTGAACGTTGGCACCATACAGTTCGTTCATTATTGTTCCAAAGACTTGCTTTCCATGTGTAGTGATAACATTTGCCTCCTGCAAGTAAATATGATAACAGCGGTTCTATTACACCTCACGTAAAAATAGAATAAGCATTGATCAATCAAGGTTGAGAACTGAAAAGTGCTCTTGGTACCTGCACAAGGGCGTGTTTCTAGAACCTGCTGAGGGCAGCTGTCTTGGTTCTCAAAAGACTGGACTATAAATGTCCTTGACCTAGATTGGCGGCCCATTGTCTCGAAGCTTCTTCCATTGACGCAGGTTAATTCACATGTGCTCCATTCTGACCATTCCGTTGAGTGGCAGTCTCCTGGATGATTGTGCAGGACAGAGCAAGGAAAATAACATGAAAACTGGCACTTGAAACCTTTACACGGACAGGGTTGGTTCACAGTGAGATTTGTGGTGATGGTACAGTGATATGGGTGGGTTGTACACACTATACATTCGACCTTGACCAATTTTCCACTTAGAATACTAAGAATGATAATTTATGGTTTAATCTAGTCTAGCAAGAAAGTATCAAAAACCAGATTGCCGGGGCGCCTGGGGGTGGCTCAGTCGTTGAGCGTCTGCCTTCGGCTCAGGTCCTGATCCCAGGACCCTGGGATCGAGCCCCACATCGGGCTCCCTGCTCCGCGGGGAAGCCTGCTTCTTCCTCTCCTACTCCCCCTGCTTGTGTTCCCTCTCTCGCTATGTCTCTGTCAAATAAATAAATAAAATCTTTAAAAAAAAAAAAAAAAAAACCAGATTGCCATTACTTCACTTCAAATCATGGTGGTCTTATCTAGCGGACACCATCTGTCTTCTAGTAATAATAAACTTTTCAAAACAGTAACTCAGTTTTCAAAGAGGCACATAATGTCACAAAATAGACATTCATAGAAACCATATAAAGGGGAAAAGTCTCTGAAGTGAAATATCTGAGTATAAAGAATGTTTATTAATCTAAACATAATTGTGTGTGTGTATACATATACATATATACGCATGCATACGTATGTATGTGTTTACACACATGTGGATTTATTCAGCCACCTTAAACTTAGGCCATACAAGCTAGGTTGGTTATTGGGATTAAAATCAACTCATACATTTTATGTAACTAATGACCTTCACAATTACAGAATGCTTTCATGAACCTACAGCCTTACTTGCTTCTACCACACCATCTTTCCGGGGTTCCTCAACTCAAGGATCCAGTCAGCATTTTTTGAGTGCTGGTCGGTGTGCTAGATACTGTCAGGTTAGGCATTATTAACACATTTTCTAGATAGAGCAGCCATCGATCCAAGGCACTAAATTCTACGTCCCTGATAAAACACCAGTGATGTGACAAAATTCTAACTTCATTCTTAAATTTCCAAGTCCAGTGCTTTTTTGCCTCTTACCTACTTTGCCTCAATTGAAGCTGTGAGGATCTTCCAAAGTCATAACTTTATTAATTGTGGTTAATTCAAAACTTCAATTTCAATGAGAGCTTCTCCAGGAAAAAAAAATAGAAAATGAATTTGAAAAGCACCAGGGAAGTCCCTCCCAATCACTTAAAACCGCATACCTGGGCAAGGCACAGAACATGGCTGTTTCAGGATGCTGTCTTGAAAAGGCATTTCTCCACACAGGGCATCATCTACACTTACAGCCGAGTGAGAGATTGAACCATTGTGGACCACGCAGGACAGGCTGCGGATCTGGACTCCTTCCCCACAGTCTCCACCCTGTTAAAGGAAAGGATACTGTCAGAATTACCCAGACAATTAGCATATCCCAGTTTTTTGGCTCTTGCCACCTCCTGGCCAAGAAAATCAGCAGCTTCCTCCTCTTGGGAGTTTTCAAGTGTTGACAATAAAGCATACTGAGCAATTCTCCTAGAGCTGACAGAGAAGTTGAAGTAGAAATGCAAATTTATTCCGTGGAACTTATGTACTCAGAATATGACGATTCGTTTTGGAACTCAGGATTGACTGAAAAAGAACAAACAAGATGAAATTTGTCTAGGTGTATGTATTAAAATGGCCTAATCCATAATCACTCCCCAAGAGAGCATGTATAGCTACAGGGCATACATTTCTCTTTTACTTTGCTTGTTTTTCTTTGGTAGGGAATTCAGTCCTTTCTCATATGGATTCGGTTGGGGTTTCCAATAAAACACTAATTTTCTCTCTTGCCACAAGAAGTTGTTTTCCCAGCATGCCTTCTGTGTTGAATAATGTTTTCTTGAAGATACTTAATACAAATCCCACTCAGATTTTTCTGGGCAATTAGAAAAAAAAATTGTGCAGTGTCTCACAGAAACAGAAACTTAGAACTGGAAAGCTCTTAGTGGTTATCTGACCTAACCGTCTGCCTGATGAAAGGTTTCCTACTATAACATTTTTGGCGGATACTCATGAGTATTTTCTCCTCAGTTTTTGTCAGGGGTTCATACTTCAAAAAGAAGTCCACTGGATATTTGGATAGCTTTAGATAGTAGCTCTGTTTTTCCATAAGTACCTTAGAAAACAGAGCTGAAGCTAAGGAGGTAAAATCCCAAGAGTGAGGGTAAAGAACTACAGCAGGAATGGAGGGGAAAGCAAATACAAGGTCGTGTGTTACCAAGCTGGCCTCAACTTCGCAAGGAAGCCCAGCTGGTTTCTTGGACACCCCTATCTTCCAGACAGGCCATGTGGTAACAGCATGCCTCAGGAGCATCCAAGACGGGGGAGGGAGGCAATCCCAGGCACTATTATTAACTCCCCTAAACTTGTGAGGTGTGTTACTCAGTTCCCACTAATGCCAGGAGTCGGTGGGAAGAGCTAGAGTTTTCATGACTACTGCTCATATGGTGGCCAAGGGGGAGAGAGAAAGAGCTAGAGCAAGCTCCCACCTCTGTACCTGTGCGGTGGCAGTCAGCGATGCCACGTGCTTTAATCCAGTAACTCACTATTCAGTGGCAGTCTGGTAACTGTGCCCCGCACTGGGAAACCAGGTTTTATGTTTTTTATGCCCTCCTCAGTTTCATGCTGCAGGAGCCAGAAACTGGCTCTCCAAGGCTTTGGAGCTGCTGTGGCCTTTGGAGAGGCAAGAGCAAAGGAGGAGGAGGTGATTGACTAATGCAGTCAGGATAGTGGGCCAGGGCAAGGAGCAGGTCTGGGGCTGCTGGGCCTGCCGAGCCCCGACCAGGGCCAGGCACTGTGGCAGCAAGTGCCAAGTGCCAAAGGCAGGTTGTGAACAGACTGCTGGACGCAAAGGCTGCTACGGAGTGGCTGCTGAGAAAAATTCTTTACATAACAAGGAAGTTAGGTTCAAAGACCTACTGGCAAGGAAGAAAAGGTGTGACTTAGAGGAGGTCCAAGTTGTAGCAACTTAAAGCTTGAAAATCTGAATAGGCACATAAATTGAGGATATCACTTTTGCTTCTAGAGAGGTTTTAATAAGAATTATCATTTGTTTATCTAAGATGGCAATTCCCACACCTGACCTATCAATCCTTCATACCTGCTCTAAAATCATTTCTCTGGCGATTGTGAAACTGCCAAAGGAAATGCACCCTAATTTTGAACATAAGTGTAGTTTTGGGGAGACGAATAGAGGTTCTGATTTAATTCACAGTAGATTCATTTAGCTCTAGTAAATGTTTACTCTCTAAAGTCGAAAATAGTTGTAAGTTGAATTTCTTTTTTAGGGAAGGGGGTCTCTCTTAGAAGTCATTATTCTGGATGATGGGTCCATTGCAGAATTGCCTGAGGTGTATGTTTTGCTATAGAGTACTTGGAGAGAAGAGTCTGAAGCCACGGCAGCATGCATGAAATTTGCTGTCTGGAACCTCGGGTAACAGAAGATGCAGCTGATTAGAGTTTTCTTTGAAATTGACCAGAAACAAGTCTCCATCAGGGATTCCTTTCAAAACCAAGACAAACAATAATATGCTCCTATTAGGTATCCAGAGTCAACTTTCCTTGACAAGAGCAGCCAAAGAGGAAGAGAAATCAGCATCCAAATGATAATCTCATTCATAAGGCAAGCATTCACTCTCATTCATGAAGCTTTACACACTAGAGACTGAAAACAGACCCAGGCTTCTTTGAGCAAGACTGTCAATAAGTGAGGATTCTTTCACTGACTCTCCACTATCCGCATCATTAATGGATGTTTCGTATGCTCTGAACTGGCATCTCCACTAGATGTGGAGAGGCAGATGGTGATAATAATCATCATAGTTTTAATCAAAATTATAATAGCAACTACAATTTATTGAGCTCTTAATTTATGTCAGGTACCATGGTAAGTACTGAATTAAAACTGTGTAATCCCTACCAAAAGTTCCCAGAAAAACAGGTACTATTGCTACTCTCCTGATAGAGATTAAACAAACAAACAAACAAAAAAACAGACCTGGAGAACTTACAGCCTTGGCAAAATTTGCAGAGCTAGGAACTGACAGAACCTTGACCAAAATAAAGCCTGCTAGACTTAGGAGTCTGAGCTCCTAAAACAGATTCATCAATATATGTGTGGATACATATGTTATCAAGTGAGGACTCTGGAAAGAAAAAGAAAACACTAAAACAAGTGAAGCCTGACAATGAACCCTTCCTTGTGCTAATCTCTTTCCATGTAAGATTGTGGCCGAACTGGCACGTCTGCTGAGCCCTGTGTTAGCGCCTCTGGTGGTCTGATCCACTGGATGGCAGCGGGCCACTTGGACATCCCCACCACCCTCAGGGGATGAGTGCCCAACGTGTATTTGGCAGGCAAGGACAGCCAGGACAAGGAGAAGCAGGAGTGCAGCTGTGAGACAGGGGATCGTCCCTTGTGTGTAGAGGCCTACACGCATTTTGGTCAGTAATTCCAAACTCTGTTGACATACACATTGAAGAAAAAGCCACCTGCTAAAAAGATACTGGGTTATCTGTCTCACAAAGAGTTCACAGATAGGCTTCAAGAAAAGCAGAAATGCAGCTTGAACTCAGGCATTCATCATGCTTCCCTTTCTCTTTTGCCTCTTCTTTTTTCTGTGTCACCCTCTTTGTTTCTTCTTCTGAGCTACCTATTTACAAGGCAGGAAAATGTGGCAGGTAAGAGTCCTGAATACACTGTCTTTGAACAGCTTCAGTTCCATTCCAAATTCTTAAGGAAGAAGGCTGACTGACCCTGTTTGGGTAAGGTGCTCACCCTGGAACAATTAACTGCAGATGTGTTTTTCAAGAGCTTTGCCTGGATTAAATGAACTGCAGAGTTTCCTCCTGGCTGGAGGTGCCAGTGAACAAGAAGAAGCTCATCTAGAAATCGGAAGCAGCTCTGAAATTTCTGGATGCACTTGCTGCTAGGGTCTCCAAGCCTGGGTATCTCCAACGGATGCCACGACCCCCAGCCCCCACTGGCAATTCTAAAGCAAATGTTCACAACCCACCACTCTTGCTCGCATGGTTCTGGCAAAAGCGCAGTATGTGACAGCAACATGAAACACTATATTTGGCATTTCCCTATAATGTTCCCATGGGACAAGTGGGCAGATTTGTGTGTTAAAAAAAAAAAAGGCTCCTGACACCCGAGAAGATTAAAAAGGGAAGATACGAAAGAACAAGTAAGGTAGAGTAGTAGTTGTATGCCTGGAGAGACTTGGAGCAGGGGGTTTATCAGGCTTATCAGGTTTATCCACCCTTCCCTCCCTCCCCGCTAACTTGTTTCTCCCTTCCCCTGCAATGGGTCCCTGAATTCTTTGAGTTTATTTTCTCTACTCTGTCAACAGTTATCACCGTGCTACGGAAGAACATTCCTTCCATTTCCTTACTGGGATTCCAAGCAGGATTTACAAATTGCTCAAGATTTAGGAAAGAAGATTTTCGACTAGTGGACAAAGTATTCATACTTAAAGCCATTAGGTTACTATTGAATTAATGAGCATGGTTATCTTATTTTCTGTAAAAAGGAGACTGAACAAATGTACCACACATTTTTGTTCCTCTGGGACTTATTTTTTTTTTTAAAGATTTATTTATTTATTTATTTATTTGAGAGAGAGAGAATGAGAGACAGAGAGCATGAGAGGGAGGAGGGTCAGAGGGAGAAGCAGACTCCCCGCCGAGCAGGGAGCCCGATGCGGGACTCGATCCCGGGACTCCAGGATCATGACCTGAGCCGAAGGCAGTTGCTTAACCAACTGAGCCACCCAGGCGCCCTCCTCTGGGACTTATTAAAATACATGGGCATTTAACTCTGCAAGATAGTAATGCTGCATGACAATGTCATCCTGACAAGAACACTAAACATCTCTATGAGAATACTCTGCAGATTTCTTAATGCATAATCACAATCATTGTTATCTAATTAAAATGTGCTTTGGAATATGAACCGAAGGATAAACTAGTAAAATAAGAAAATAAAAAAAGTCAATGTGCTTTTTCTTACACAAGAAACCACAGAGAAAACGCAGTAGAGGATCTTTGCTGATCCAGCAAAAGCTCTGGGTATGTGATATATGATGATGTTGCTAGGCATTTATATTTCATGTCAATAAAAAAGTAATCATTGAGGAAAATGTAGTAACCTTGGTTCATGTAATAATGTTAAAATATAACTTTCCTACACTTTTGGTTTTCTGCCCATATGCAAGATTTTGGCTAAGCCTAAAAGTGCCTCTTTAAGAAATAGAGCCCACGGCAAGCTGTGCATTTCCATCGCATCAGGGTTTTGCCTAATTAAATAATACTTTGATATTTTCACCAAGCCAAGAACATAACCTTGTATTCCGGAGAATGCCTAAGAGAATGAAAGTCCCATGACCCTGTTAGAATCAGTGCCTAATGAATTGCTATTTTCCTAGCAACACCACTTGGCATGAGATTAAGTCATTTGGTTGTAGTTTTTTTTTTGTTTAAAGATTTTATTTATTTATTTGACAGAGAGAGACACAGCGAGATCAGGAATACAAGCAGGGGGAGCGGGAGAGGGAGAAGCAGGCTTCCCGCCGAGCAGGAAGCCCGATGCGGGGCTCGATCCCAGGATTCTGGGATCACGACCTGAGCCGAAGGCAGATGCTTAACAACTGAGCCACCCAGGCACCCCTGGTTGTAGTTTTGCGTGTGCTCTATTGCATAAAAATACATTGTGCCAGACCCCTGGTGCTGTGAAATTTATTCCATCAGCATATAGGTTGACCAGACAAATGCTTTAGACATACTAAGAAGCATTTCCTTAAGTATTATCACGTGACCTACCTCCAATTTACATGAGGACCAGTTGCCGAGGACCCAGCTGTAACAGGGTGTCACTGGGCAGGTTTTCTGCTGGGTCAGCTCTGTGGGGCATGGTCGTCCTTCTCCTTGGGTTGGCATAATGATAAATCGAGTCCGGCTCATTCGACCTAAAATGATAAGGAAGGTGTTGGCTTTTTGTTTACAGGCTGGCTTAGTAAGGGAATTAAAAACCAGAATGTTGCTTTACCTACGTAAGTCTTCATTAAAATATGCTGAACTTTGTCACATCTTGCTCTCAGCTTTTCTGCCATTTTAAGTTAGGTTTCTATGGACATGCAGGTTATATAAGATCTGCATAATGCTTAAGGTTTTGGAATTCTGTCTGCCTTCTACTTCTTTAGTCTTCCTAACTCCAAATTCTGTATTGTTGCCCAAATAGACTGATACTGTAAACACTGGGGGAATGCTAATTAATTCAACAAATATTAAGCTCCAAGATGATCCAGGCATCTTGCCATGTGCTAGGGATACAGGGATGAAATTTCCAGATGCAGCTTCTGCCCTCACAGACCTTGTATTTTAGGCCAAAATTAAAAATATTCAAAATAGATTGCATCTTTCTTGTGAGGTTCTAAATTAGCAAGTAGGGTAAAAATTGTACAAAACCCAAATTACCCTAGAAAATTCCTTAGGAAGGTGCCACCACAAGGTCTCCAGACTCTCTTTCAATTAATTCAATATGGACAATGGTCCTACAGTTTAGGGCCAAATTCCTTTTTCACTGAACACAAGATGAAGTTGTTGGCTTGTGTGAAGGAACCCGGATGTTTGAAAAAAACATGTCCAAATATTGGTATTCCAATTCATAAAAAAAAAAAAAAAGGCAGTTGGTTAATAGGAATAGCAAAGGAAAGAGCAGGGTTCCCATGCCATTTTATGCCCACTCATAGGCAGCAGGTCATAAACCTATTAAAGGGGAATAGTGGACAGAATTTTAATGTCTGTGTTTCTCTCTTGCTCTCTCCCCCACTCACTCCTGTCTTAATCTTTCTTTGTTGATGAGATTCTATGTGCAAGTAGTTTCATTACTATTGTCTATGAATATGATGTCCTTCCATTGTTGTTACAAAGTTAACTATGTAATTGTATTTGTGATAAAAAAGAAAAAGAGGGTTCCATGAAAGCATGTTATGGGGACATAGGCCAGTCTGGGAGGCCATCAGAACATTTCTGTGAGCAGCTGACCTTTGAGCAGAAATCTGAAAAAGTCAGCCAGACAGGATATACAGAAAGTGAAGAAAGGGCATGCGAAGAAGTCCTGAGATGCAAAGGAGCAAGCCACATTTGAGGAACTGACAGGAGGGCAACGTGGCCCAAACAGAGCTACAGGAAGATTAGATTGAGGTAGTGCTATGAAAGCTATTTAAAGTACGGTCCTTTAGTTGATGTCAAAATTCTAGATTTATATGTTAAGAAAAATGGAAAGCTAGGGAGGACCTCGACACAGAATTCACTTGGAAGCCCTGGGTCGGAATAATTCTCAGATGCCCTCAAGTTCAGGGACAAGTAAGAGTGACTCACCTTTCAGTGGACTAGACCTCTTACTGGCTACCAGAAGATTATAGATTTTGTGGTAAACTAATTCCCTCTGAGAAAACCTTTGAGGAAAAAGTTTTTTGTTTTTTGTTTTTTAATTAGGCTCCAGGTCCAGTGTGGAACACAACATGGGGCTTGAACTTACCACCCTGTGATTGAGACCTGAGCCAATATCAAGAGTCGAAAACTTAACCGACTAAGCCACCCAGGCGCCCCTAGGAGGTTCCAATCACTGCAATCTTCATCCTTGAGATTTAGGCTTCTGTCCCTAACATGGTGCTTCACATATATTAAACACTAACTGAATATCTGTTTAATTCATATTTTCATACATTGTCTACATGATATCTGGTATCTGAAAATGTGTGATGATATAGCAATACAATTACTGAGCAGGTACCAAATACTAAGGTAATATTCTAAATACTTAAATGCCGAAGAATAACAACCCTAAAGGAAAATTCTTCACATACTATGGATAAGGAAAATGAGGGAGACTTTAACTCACTTGTCTATGGTCAAAAAAATTACTAAGTTGCAAAACAGGATTCAACCTCAGTTCTTCTCCAGAGGCTGCTGTGTTAGCCCTGAGTTGAGAGAGCAAGGATAGCTACTTACCACGTTCTTTTATGGGAAGGTAAAATTTGAGTCAAAAATGACACATGCTTGGTTAACAACATAATTGACCCATTCTTCTTGGGTGAGAGTTCCTATGAAGACCATGTGTTTTTGATGTTCTACCCAGCATCACTCAAATCATATCAGTTGGACATCATTCATATGAAATGTTGTCCCTGTTTGAATACATTTGGTTTAAGATTTTGCATTAATTCTTGCTTAAATACTCGTCAGTTTTATAATAATCTTTATGTTTGTTCTCTTAACCTAAATAGCTATTACCCTAAATGTCATTATAATTGCATTTCATTATTTTTCATTATATTCATTATAACCAAATAATTTCAAGTTTGTTCTTGAATTGATGGCATGCAGATGGCTATTACTTTAGAACTATTTTAGTTATTTCTATTAAAGTGACAGATACCTTTGGCTGGACATAGAGGTGGGGGGAACCTAATGTATTCAACAGGAAAAAAATGATGCTATTACTTTTTGAAATAATGAAAGTCTTAAAATCATTCATTGAAAGCACAGCCATATGATTTCTCTGCCTTTTGCTATCCTAACACAAAAATAAGGTTTTCAAACAATGACGATTACTACTGCCTTTTGCTATCCTAACACAAAAAATAAGGTTTTCAAACAATGCTGATCACTACCAAGAACACATATTTAAAACCAAGGAGCTTATAATAATCCTACATTTTGAAGCATATTGCCATGTTTAAGTGGCTAATATTAAAGTTCAATGACAAAAATTTTGCTAATGAAGGCATGAGTATGTAAAAGGTTTCTGTGGGGGTACTTGATATCTTCTGAGTTTCTTTTTTAATTTTATTTATTTGTCAGAGAGAGAGACAGAGAGAGAGAGCACAGGCAGGGGGAGTGGCAGGCAGAGGGAGACGCAGGCTGCCTGCTGAGCAGGGAGGCAGACCTCTATTTCAGGACCCCAAGATCATGACCTGAGCTGGTCAGCCACTTAACCGAGCCACCTAGGCACCCCTCTTTTTTCTCTTAAGTCAGGGATATTTGGGCTGTATTAAATAATCAGAGAAAGCACCCCCCAAATTAAACACTCTTTCACAAATCCTGCAGTTGTAAATATTACATCTAGCTACATGGAATACAAATGGTATCAATAAGGAGGCCCACCATCTCCAATGGTAGTAGTCTGAAATTGCCTGGGATTCCAAACATAAGACGGGATGGAATATCCAACCAAGCAATCTCTCTCAACACTGATTATTCTAAAAGGAATCCTTACAATCGGGAGCCTAAAGAAATTGTTTTGGTGATAGTGAATTTTCACATGGGGGGAAAGCAGTGGAAAATGTGGCCAAATTAAAGATATTTAAAGTTACAATGTGATATAGAACATAAGAGAAAGAGAATTTTAAAAAAATAGCTGATGTATGGTGAAAAGAAACCTGGACTTGGCATCAAAATTCTCTAGTTGGAAACAGTTCTCTCAATTTGACAGCTCGTAAATGATGTGACTACATGGAAGTATTTTAACTCCTCTGAACATGAATTTCCTCTTCTGTAAAATAAAGTAGAAAGTTCTTACTGAGAATAATTCATGCTGGGGAAAATGCCACTTAATCCATCTGTTGCAATGGGAATTAAATTATTTTTAATAAAGTCTAAATGGGACTTTTTCTGGAACTAAAAAGTATGCAAGTGAGTTTACTTGATCTAATATCAACTACCATGTAGATGATAGCTGCAACAATGTAATCATTATTAGGACAAATAATAAATTAGCTATTAATATTTCTTATGTAATTTTATGATTACCCTATAAAAGATCCATTGTTTCATGACTGGCTTTTGCAGTTTGATCATCAGAGTCTTTGGCCTTCAACTCACTTTTCATCAAGTTTCCCAAGAGCTCCCTTTAATCTTTGGTGTACAAATCGTTCCCTTTTGTATCCCTTTGTTTTGGGTACATACTCTATTTGCAGCTAGAGACTGACCAGCAAATACTCTGATGAAATGACAGAACATGTGTCAGTGGAGAAAGCTTGTTGGTTGGGGGATGGTTTCATAAATGGTCATTTCATTAGTGAATATTTTGGTATTATAAAGGCTTTGGCTTCCTTCAGCACTCACAATTATGCTGACTCAGGTGAAAAGTACTGAAATGATGAGGATTCCTTAGAGTCATCTCACATTGGTTATATAAATAAAAAAAATACCATATATAAACCACCTTAACAGTATATCTAAAATATAACAGGTGGTTGTTAAAACTTCTACTTTTCGCCATTTATTTTAACAACTGCTATTTCGTATCTATTTCTAGAACTGGCGTTGACTACTTCTATCGGTATTTTACTAGGCTTATGATATGAAATGCATACAACTATGAAATCCCTAATGATTCTGCCTTGTCCCAACCCACCAAACCTCTTACACTGCAGCTTGGATTCCTTCTGCCCTCAGAGTAAGAGTGAAGATTGCTACCATGCATATCCCGATGCTTCCAATCTGAAAATGGGGGTATTTTCTTGGACGCTCTGTCTGGATTCCTCGTTTGGGTTTATGTTTTTCAGTAAAAGACAGAGGACTAGGACTCTATTTGGAAACTGAATTCAATAGTAGCTATAGATAAGATGTTTAACAAGCAATACCAAAGAGATGTAAAAACAGAAATCGACTGTGTTCATCTACTCTCCAGGCTATAAAGGATAGAAAAGCACTCCCTTACAAAATATGTTTCCAATTTAATAAAGACCCAAATTACAGTAGGGTAGCTTTGCTAGCAATTCTCGGAGCCTTTTCCTCTCCTCCCTTGAGGAATATTGGGAACTCATTATGAGCAACAGTGATATTGGGTCTACTGTTACATTAGCAATAATTACTTGCAATGAAGAAAAAAGAACTGCATGGTAAGAATGCCAAAAAAAACCCCCAACAACAGTGAGGTACATGAATGGTAACACAAACA